AAGCCCCTCCTTTCACAAGCCTAATCTGGTCTCATTGGTCAGATGGCCCAGTTTGTTGTGATTGGTCGGCTGCTTATAGTGTGTCGGAAACGAAACGTCTATTATCATTATTATTGTCTATTACTATTTCAGCTCCGGAGGCTTCCTCAGTACATGAAACACAATGATACGAACAGTAACAATGGCGTCCGTTTTACCGTATCAATTCCTGTGCGAGTCCTCATCGCTCATCCTTTTTAAATGTATGCAAAGTGGATTCAGCGCTGATGTCAACAACATGAACACAACTCTTCCAGGCCAACAGTGTTTGAGGGCAGGTCAAAGTAGAGCTGCTCACCGCCAATGAAGACCATAGGCTGGCATTATGCAAATTTGTTACATTGTTAAGTAGATATGTAACAGTAAGTGATACTGAAATTACTGACAACTCGTTTCAGTAGATCAGAATCAATTCTTTCTTTTACGAGAAAATAACTTTATTTGTCATGCACTTTGATCTTTAAAATTTGGCAGACCTTTTACATTCCCAAACAGCTATATAACATACTTCTTCGTCGTCTTTGGGCAGCAAGCGTATTCCGTTATGATTGGCTGCATGGGATTATTTTGAATTCGCACCCTCTTTGAATGTACGTTGCCAGGTCTTCTTTGGCCTTCCTTGCCTTTGGCGTCCATTGGGCGCCATCCATTGTGATTGCCCCAGAACGTGACCTGCCAGTTTGATGCAACGCTCAGACAAAATGGGCAGACAAAGTCTGTGGGTTTTAGGCTTAGCCCTGCGCAGAATCTCTTCGTTAGTAACGCAGTCGTGGTATGTGACGTAGAAAATGCACCTGAGGCACCGCTGGTGGAACACGTCCAACTTGTGAACAACGTGCAGTGTTTTTACAGGTTTTGCAGTGTTGTGTTCATAAGTGAATTATACAGTGGACTACTATGTGGAAGAAGAAGCCTGAACTGTTGAAGTGTTGTGTTCTGACGTAATGTGTGTGAGAACGGAAATGAATAAAGTAAAGAAGATGGATGAAGATTGCTACTCCTGTCTCGTCTGTTTTATTGTTTAATAATTCCTGACAGACATTACAAGCTGGCATAGATTGCCATCGTTAACACAATGTAGAGGTGGATCTTGAGTGACATGCTAATGAATCACATTGGCTGCCTTGCCATTGCGTTGGTTTACGTCTGGCTCTGCTTTCCTGTTCTAGTATGTAAACCGGTCTATATCATTGAGCAGCTGGTTGCCAATGATGATTGGCATCGGTAGATCTTCATCTTCTCCGTTCATTTGCATCACTTGGGTTTTTTTATATTGATCCGCAGACCGATCTTAAGTGCACATCTTTCTAACCTGGTGGTAAGTTGCTATAGCTTCTCCTGCGACTCTGCTTGTAGTGCAATATCATCTGCAAAGTCCAGATCGGCCTTGGCGCCACTCATCTGGTACTTGTTCTTCTTCCCAATGTTTATTCATCAGCTGTGTCAGTGCTTGTATCACACTAGATCCGCCATGTTTCAGAAGTTCTGCGGGAATCTGGTGTCTTGTGCTATTACATTTTTTCACCGCTTTGCTCCACCTCATCAACTGTCATTGTGTCTGTTTTCACTTGCAGTTCTGGGGAGAAATCCCTGAGGTCAAAAACAAAAGTGCTCTTTGGCTCAGGCTGGTTCAAAGACTCTCGGAAATGCGCAAGCTGGTCTTGCTCTTTTTTCGTCAGCAGCATATTCACACACACACACACACACTACATAAAAGGTAATATTCGAATAAGCATCATTTAATGATTGGTTTTTCAGTGACACATTTATTAGTTTACAATAGTGGATTTGAAGATTATATAACTAACCTCATAACACACTAGATTAAAGAAGCTGTAAAAGTGTAACTGGCTGAACTAAATGTTGTTTTTAAATATTTTAATGCCCAAAGAAAAATCAAGTGTTTATTGTCCCATTTCCTCTAATGTGATCCAACTGGATTGGAAACTTGACCTATTTATTGTACAATTAAATGCTTATTGGAAACACATTTGAAAGAAAAGTGTTGCAGTAAGGAAAGAAAAGTAATGCAATTTGTGCTGCCATTGTGAGGGAAATGAGAGAAAAGTACATCGGTATATTATTATATATTCTGTTCTGTGATGAAAGTGAGTGCAAATGTTTCGAAGGGCCTAACACCTAAGCCAGACGTGATAACTGTTTTATTAAATCTGAAAGTAATGGAGTGCTGTCCAACATGTTTTGATTAAAGCTGGGGACACACATAACGACTGCAAGACCGATTATTAATGTAATTTGATACTTACGACTGATCAAGCCCAAACGTGCCGAGTAAGAGACAGTTGCGTTCAGTCAGTGTTCACAGTCATGTGTTTAAAATCTGCTCCAGTCATTGGAAACAGTCTGTAAGTGTGTTCAGTTCAGAGAATGTTTCAGCTAGTCGTTAAGTGTGTCCCCGGCTTACAAGTGTTTCTATGTTCTGTTCAAGTGAGGTGGAAGACATTTTGGAGAGGTTTATCAGGGAACGTTATAATTTCAGAATAGCTCATATTTCGTTTTGTGTAATTCATTCTTCTGTAGAGTTTTTAGAGGTCAGAGTTGAGGTTATTTACAGCATTATGCAAACCAACAAATCTCTAAAATGGAGGTTTGTTTTACCTTTAAAAGAAACAGCTCCCTTGCTACAATACCCCATCCAATTTAAGAATGCCACTAGCACAATATGGTAAATTATCAATGTATTATTCTTCTCTATGAAAAAAAAATGCTGGGTAAAAACCACCCAATTTGGGTAGTTTTTAAATGCAACTGCTGGTTAAATACAGGACAGAACAAATGCTGGATTTGTACCATCTCGTCCACTATGATGACGACAGCGTGTGTGTTTTTTCTTCTCTTCTCAGGGTAGGCATGCTTGTGTCTCCGCGTTGAGATCTTCCTGGAGACAGACCTCAAGGGACGTTCAAGAAATATTTAGACTGGGTTCTTCTAGTTCCCCCTTCACCATCTGCGAGAGAGAGGAGGAATTCAGCGCACCACCCGCAGCCATCGTCCCAACGGATGCTAAGCCCTAGCCTGACACGAACCAAGAGCCAGAGCCGATGCCTGTGCCCCAGATCGCCCTGGAGCCCAAGCCAACCATGTCAGATTGTCAGGTGCGTGAGCCGGCAACATCATACATCAGTGAGGGAATACTGTTGAAATAGGAGAAGATGGAATGGAGCCCTGTCCCTTCAGCTGAGGTGGTTGTAGATGCTTTAAACTCTGAGCCCCTGATTGATTTGGAAAATGATTGCACCCTGCCTTTTCCGTCAACCTGCACCAAGCCTGTTTCGTCACTCAGCACTACCCAGAGTTATTGATGTCTGTGTTTTCACCCTTCCTCCCACTCCCATCTCCTCTTCCTATTCCGAGTCGTCAGAGAGTGCCATTCCTGAAATGTCTGCCTGTCCTGTATCGGCCAAGGAGAAGTTCCTAAGAAGTCTGTCTGTTTTGGAAAGCTGTTTTGTAAACCACTGCCTGCACTGCCCAGTTCTTCAGGTGTTCATCTCCTGCTCTGTGCTTTGTGAATTCGCCTCAGACTAATTGTTCGCCAGTTCAGCCCTGGACTGTCGATCGGTTTGCTCTGCCTAGAACCTCTGTGCCCTTCAATGGCTGCTCGGCCCCACAGCTCCGCCTTGGTCTCCAGGACCTTCTGTGTTGACCGGTCTTGTCGGCACTTCGGCTCCGCCTGGGTCATCTGATCCGTCTCGGTCGGTAGTTCACCTGGTTCCAGCCACCAAGTCTTCACCATTGCTCCTCCTTCCCTTGACTCTGACATGGGCTTTCGTCCTGGGGTTCCTACTGGGGATTCCACCTTGGCTCCTCCCACTATCATCTCCGCCCTGGGTATTACCACCTTCAGCTCGTCCCTGGATTCTCCGGTTGTTTGCTCTGCCCTGGCTCCTGTGTTTGTCCCTTGTGCCTGCCCTGCACCCACTTCCTAAGCCCCCTCCCGCCCTCTTCTGTTGGACTCTGTAGGACGTGCCTTGCTGATTCTGGGTTTAATGTCTGTTTTGGGTGGGTTTCCTGGGTTTTGCTCTTGTTTTGGTTCCCGTTTCCTGTGGTTGAGTTTGGTTTTTCATTGATTGATTATGATCTGCACCTGTTCTCTATTTCGTTGATTAGTTTAACTTGTAAAAGTTTGTTCAGTTCATTGTCCATTCTCATCAGTATTATATTGGTTGGTCTGTTCTACATATTTTTGTATCCAGTATTCTAAGACGTGTTATTTTGAGTTTGTTTTCATTAAACATTCACTGCTTGAGATTAAATACAGCTTTTTATTACATTGTGCTTGCAACCAGCGCTGACACAGGCTGGATTGCACACTTAACCCAGATGGTTATTTAATTTTATCTCATGGTTATTACATTTATTGTTACTTACAGAAAAGTCCGTAAATCGCTATGAATTAACAGTGAAATAGAGTAGGCTATTGAGACACAAAATTACACAACATTTGACATGAAATCAAATGACTAGAACAGGTTAGATTGTTGTTGTTTTTTTTTTTATAGAAATCCAGTGTTTGTAACTTACAAATTGTAAGTCATGACAATTTCATTAAAATCGTTCAAATGAAAATAATATTTAAGACAAAAATGCATATAAAGAGGTCAGTTTTTATTCCATGTTTTATGGCCATCTTTACACTTTTACATTTTTTATGACTGTTTTAATAGTAGTGTATACAATTGAGTGTAAATATATATATATATATATATATATATATATATATATATATATATATATATATATATAGCCTATATATATTTATTTATTTGTACAAAAAACTTTTATAATGATTACAATGTATAAGAGCTTTATCATCATGGTCAAAAATTGTACTTTTAAGTGAAATGTGTCTGTGTCTGTAAAGTGAAAGTGTCGTGTTGCTGTCCTCTGTCTGAAGCCCCTCCCAGAGCACCAGAGCGAGGGGTCTCGGTATTTAAAGCCGGTCACTGCCGCTTCCAGCGCCGCTGTGGAGTGCGCGTGCACGGACGCAAAATGAAGCGCTTAACTTTGTTTGCTCTGGCTATCACATTAATCGCGACAGTTTTCGCCGCGAAATCCCCGTATCAAGCGGTTCTTCAGCACAGCAGGATAAGAGGAAGAACACATGGGTAAGGGCTGTTTTGCTGTGTTCGTACACCTGAGTCATTCATTGATCATTTTAAAGACTGATAGCCGTTCTGTTCCCTAAATAGGATTTAAAACAATGAGCACAATAAAGTCATATGACCCTCTGATTTATATGCACATATAAACATGGTTTTGAACAAAAGTAAAAAGTAGTAGGCTACTTTTTCTTTAATCCTGCACAATGCATTAAGCATTTGGTGAATGCGTGGAGCTTTTAAAAAATGGTGTGTTTATTTGAATTGGTTTGCAGCCCCAATGTCTGTGCTATGCAGAAGATTCAAGGAACGGATAAGAAGTACTTCACCAACTGCAAGCAATGGTATCACCGCAAAATCTGTGGCAAACCAACGTGAGTTACCACAGATATCTTAATATTGAAAATCTGAAATGATATCTATCTATCTATCTATCTATCTATCTATCTATCTATCTATCTATCTATCTATCTATCTATCTATCTATCTATCTATCTATCTATCTATCTATCAGACAGGTACATTTGTCAGGATAACATTATGCATTTTGCAAAAGATGTTCCAGTATTTTACTGTGCTGAAGTTTGAGCCAGTGTACCAGACATTATAAATATTTCTTCATAGGTAAAATAATACCATTGTCTTTTCAAGTTGCTAAGGAAAAATCTCTCAGAACATAACTAGATGGAAAATATTTCACCCATGTCATACCAGTCTTTTCCCCGCATTTATGGAACCAGATTGAAGTTTAAGTTAATGACTTATTGTCAGCATTTTCGTCTAAACTGCCAGAATGTGCTGAGAGATGAATATGTGATTAAACTTATATCACCTTGCCAACACAGTTTTCACAGGGGATTTAAAATGCATCATCGTTGTACTAAATAATATTTATTACGCTGAGATAAGTATATTCATAGCTTCTGATGACTTTGGTGAAGCATTTTCCAAATTGCAACCTTTTGAAATGATGAAGAGAAAATGTCTTGTTAAAGTGTTAATGACTGTTGTATGACACACTTTGACATCTTTCAGTCTCCATTTTCCACCAGCTGCATAGCTCATAAAGTTATAATTTTACACAATGGACAGATTCACTTTTTTTGGTAAAGGCCTCTTTTCTTTTGTATGAAACAGTGAACAGGGTATTTGAGTTCAAGTTGACGGTAGATATAGAAGAACGTTGTGTAGTAATGGTTACCATATGTCTCTTGGTAATTGGCTTCAGTCTTCACAGGGTTAAATTGCCTAACATCCTGAACAGTGCATTAATGCGAGGCTGACAAATCGGTGTGCCTTTCTGTCTAAAAGCTCCTCAGTGCTCCAAGACCTGGATTATACAATTACAACTTGTAGAAACACTGTTTGATTGACAGCCACTTAATGTCCCCGCAGGAGGGAAAGGTGTTATGAACATTCCACGGACAAATATATATTCAGGAGGAACCGCATGTTCAGTGTCTACAATACAAGAACACAAATGATACTTTTAAAAGACAAATAAAAACCATAGATTTAATGGGAGAGTTTAATGGTGAAGTTGCCGGCGTTTTGGTACAATACGTTCCATGATGGATGGTTTTTAAGAATGTTGGAATCTGGAATGGAGTCTGGAATGTTTATTTGGAAACATTATGTAAGAGATGAATGTTTCTTACATAAGGTGTGCATGCTAAAGTAGGTGCACCAACAAGTTTTGGGAGTTTTTTAGTTGCAGAAGTTTTGAATAATCCCATGTGTCCTGGCTGATGATACTTTGAATTACTGAATTACGGTTTACAACACCATATGTTATGCATAATACAGTACCATTCAAAAGTTTTAAATGTTTTTTTTAAATAAGTCTCTTATACTCGCCAAGGCTGCATTTATTTGATGAAAAATACAGTAAAAACGCTAATATTGTAAAATATTATTACATTTTAAAATGATTGATTTCTATTTAAATGTATTATTTAAATTTAATTTATTCCTGTGATGGCAAAGCTGAATGTTCAGCATCATTACTCCAGTCTTCAGTGTCACATGATCCTTCAGAAATCATTCCCATATGCTGATTTGGTGCTTGAGAAACATTTATTATTCCCTTTCAATTATGCTGCTTAATATTTTTGTGGAAACCATAGATTTTTGTTTGAATTGTTTTACCCTTTGATGAACAGAAAGTTCAAAAGAACAGCATTTATTTGAAATAGAAATCTTTTGTGACATTATAAATGTCTTTAATCTCACATTTGATCAGTGTGATGCATCCTTGCTGAATAAAAGCATTCATTTATTTAAAAAAAAACTTTTGAATGGTAGTACATCAAAAATTCAATTCTGTGAAAGAGTGACACGATTTTTCCCATTTGGTAAATATAAGGATGTTAGCATAGATCATTTAGAAAGACTTATACTTATACTTATTAATTCATTTATTTATGTAGCCTGATATTTGTTATTATTCATTATTTCTTTATTCAAATGAGTAAAAGCTGTCTGTTTGGCAACCCTGATCAAGAACAAAATTTAAGAGTGTACAGCGAAATCTTGAGATAGAGAAGGATTTGTTTTTTAAACAGAGTTTCTTTCATAGCAAGTCTCAAGAAAGAAAGAAGGAAGTCAGAGTTGGTGTGGGCGCTTGCTTCTAGGAAATGATTACAGTTGGGAGTCCTGTAGAAGGCCTTATATCCCCAAACGCACACAAATCATTGACCAGGTCTCAATGAGTTTTGCTGATGTCTTTCTGTGTGAAAAAAAAGAAAAAAGAAAGTCTTGCAGTGAAAGGATGTACCTTCCTCAGGAAACCCCAAGGTTGTGTTCTGTGACACTGAAGTTCACTTGATTTACAGAGTTTCGAGGTTTTGGGGTGGGAGGAATTTTGTGGGAATAACTGCACTCTTTGTATGACTGGTTTATAAAGGTCAGTACTGTGGAACATGATGTTTCCAGGTCACTTGAGGCGAGACTAATAACTTTCTTCAGCATATACTCCCTAGTGCACTCTTTTTGCTAGACACCCGGTTCAGGTGCTTTATTTTGATATAATGGTGATAATATGGTTTGATAACTTCAGCAAACCTTTAAAATGTTTGTGCTTTTAAAGATATAATTAATTCATTAAGATATTTAATCAAAGAAATTAGGAATGATTGTTGTCATCTCCTTTTTCCAATTTAAGAAGAAGTTATCCGAGAAATCATGTTGTCTCTTTTGATATCCTTTATAAATGGGAAGTGAGACGTTTTAGAAGACGCAAATGATAAATCAGCTGACCATTCATACACTGAAAATAGATTTCAACATAATCTAGTATAATACAACTTTCACAATACTTCTGGGAACCTCTTGTCACACCACTTGAAAGTGCACGATATGTATGCGGCCTAGCTGTTTATTTAGTCAGAAATCCATGGCTACCATCTTTGCTTATGTTGGCAGAAGACAAACAGGAGTTGAGTTACCATCTGTTTTGATAATCAGTTCAGTCTGCTTTCCTCTTCCGTGCGTTTTACAGGTCTACACCATGCCTGAATGTCAGGATTGTTGTCTTTGTTTAGATTTGCTTTCTAGTCTTCCACTCTCACACTCTTAAGATGCTGTGGGTTACTCAAGCTAGTATGCTAACAATTTGTTGCAATTGGTAAGTGAGCAACCTTTAAAAATATATAATTCAAAGGACTTTGTCTCTAAGTGGTCATACCACTCATACCACATCATCGATGTATCCTCAAGGATTCTTCGGCAAAATATGTTAAACAAATAAGTCAAAGAGCTGTTTTATAATACGTCAAGGAAACTATGTAATAGCAGATTCTTATGTTGCATAAGCATATTGTTAAAATAAGCACATATTTTACCTTTAAGTCTATAGGCTTTAACCCTCATGTGGTGTTCGGGTCAATTTGACCCGGAGAAGATTTTCTTTTTCCCGAAAATACTAGTTAATGTTGTCGCTTTGGACTGAAACTTAGTGACTTTGTTCCCAAACGGTATAACTAAATCTCAGTGTTTTTTTGAAAATTTTCTTATTTTTTTGTGGGAGTATTGTTACCTTGTTACACTTGTGGTGTTCCCGGTCAAAAATGACCGGCCTATAAAAAATAGCTTATAAGTCACTCATTATACCATATTTTCACCCAATCTTGGATTCAATCTTTTTGTCAACTTGTTCTCTTTCAATTAGGACTGGTTTTATATTTCTGTTTGAATCTGATTAATCGTGGGCCTCATTTGTCTGAGAGTAGGCATCTCATTTTTTGAGTAAAAAACAAATAATTTATGAGTAAATTTGGAAATATGAAAAAAAAATATGGAAAAAATGGCTACGGTTGATCACACTAGTCTACTCTAATGTTTCACCAGGAATTTTGTTTTGAAACTTTTGTTTTGTAAAAAATATGGCACATAGTCACACTTGTGGTGTTCCCGGTCAAAAATGACCGGCCTATAAAAAATAGCTTATAAATCATTCATTATACCATATTTTCACCCAATCTTGGATTCAATCTTTTTGTCAACTTGTTCTCTTTCAATTAGGACTGGTTTTATATTTCTATTTGCATCTGATTAATCGTGGGCCTCATTTATCTGAGAGTGGGCATCTAATTTTTTGAGTAAAAAACAAATAATTTATGAGTAAATTTGGAAATATGAAAAAAAAATATGAAAAAAATGGCTACTGTTAATCACACTAGTCTACTCTAATGTTTCACCAGGAATTTTGTTTTAAAACTTTTGTTTTGTAAAAAATATGGCACATAGTCACACTTGTGGTGTTCCCGGTCAAAAATGACCGGCCTATAAAAAATAGCTTATAAATCACTCATAATACCATATTTTCACCCAATCTTGGATTCAATCTTTTTGTCAACTTGTTCTCTTTCAATTAGGACTGGTTTTATATTTCTGTTTGCATCTGAATAATCGTGGGCCTCATTTATCTGAGAGTAGGCATGGTCAAAAATGGTCACAATGGCCGACCATTGAAAGTGAATGGGAGAGACTGAAAATAACAGAACAATTTAGTTTTCAGGAGCATTTTCATTATTTTCATGTACACATATGAGCATGTGTGCTTGCAAACATTGAGCCCTTGGACCTGTGCATGTATCGATACATTTATACACACGCTACCCAGACACACACACGTTAAAACACACAAACTTTTTTGAGTATTACACACATTCTTTTCCACAGAGAGAAATTTGATCCTACCCTAACCTGCATCTAATATACATTTATCCATCTGACATTACCACACACACACACACACACACACACACACACACACACAAACTGGCCGTGACTGCAGTGACCCGGCTTCAAAAGAATCTTTCTTTCATGGTCTTGTTTCATCACAGCTTCCAGACAAAATATTATGACATTTTGTTTTGGAACTGTGAGGTTCTCACACAGAACTAGACAATATTTACAAATATACATCATGTGATAGCACAGGCATATATAAAATGCCTCACAGCATTTTGCTTGTCATTCATTTGTGGCAGCACAATGGCAAAACAGCTCTGCACATGATGTTATTCATCAGATTTTTGACTCAGAAACTAGTGAGGAGGAGGACATGCAGGATGCATCTTGCAGTGAAGATGTTTCTGAAGAGGAAGGCCTTCAGAAGAAAACCTGCCTTGCCTCATAGGTGGGGATGAAGGCCAGGACAAAGTTCCATCTTTTGACCAGAATGAAACGGTAACCTCAGCTGGGCCCTCATCACTGGAAGACTGCTCCTCATCAGTTGTTTCAAGCTCCGTAGCCGATTCAGTGGTGCCTTCCTCTTTAGAAACATCTTCACTGCAAGATGCATCCTGAATTTCCTCCTCCTCACTAGTTTCTGAGTCAAAAATCTGATCACGGCCTGTGTGTGTGTGTGTGTGTGTGTGTGTGTGTGTGGTAATGTCAGATGGATAAATGTATATTAGATGCAGGTTAGGGTAGGATCAAATTTCTCTCTGTGGAAAAGAATGTGTGTAATATTTAAAAAAGTTTGTGTGTTTTAACATGTGTGTGTCTGGGTAGCGTGTGTATAAATGTATCGATACATGCACAGGTCCAAGGGCTCGATGTTTGCAAGCACACATGCTCATATGTGTACATGAAAATAATGAACATGCTCCTGAAAACTAAATTGTTCTGTTATTTTCAGTCTCTCCCATTCACTTTCAATGGTCGGCCATTGTGACCATTTTTGACCATGCCTACTCTCAGATGAATGAGGCCCACGATTATTCAGATGCAAACAGAAATATAAAACCAGTCCTAATTGAAAGAGAACAAGTTGCCAAAAAGATTGAATCCAAGATTGGGTGAAAATATGGTATAATGAGTGACTTATAAGCTATTTTATATAGGCCGGTCATTTTTGACCGGGAACACCACAAGTGTGACTATGTGCCATATTTTTTACAAAACAAAAGTTTCAAAACAAAATTCCTGGTGAAACATTAGAGTAGACAAGTGTGATCAACAGTAGCCATTTTTTTCATTTTTTTTTTTCATATTTCCAAATTTACTCATAAATTATTTGTTTTTTACTCAAAAAATGAGATGCCTACTCTCAGACAAATGAGGCCCACGATTAATCAGATGCAAACAGAAATATAAAACCAGTCCTAATTGAAAGAGAACAAGTTGACAAAAAGATTGAATCCAAGATTGGGTGAAAATATGGTATAATGAGTGACTTATAAGCTATTTTTTATAGGCCGGTCATTTTTGACCGGGAACACCACAAGTGTGACTATGTGCCATATTTTTTACAAAACAAAAGTTTCAAAACAAAATTCCTGGTGAAAATGTTAAGTTGACTAGTGTGATCAACAATACCAATTTTCTTCAGATTTTATTTAATATTTCCAAAATTATTCAAAAATTTAAAAAAAATTACTCAAAAAATGAAATGCCTACTCTCAAATAAATGAGGCCTATGATTATTCAGATGCAAATCAAAATATAAAACCAGTCCTAATTGAAAGAGAACATGTTGACAAAAAGATTGAATCCAAGATTGGGTGAAAATATGGTATAATGAGTGATTTATAAGGTTTTTTTTATGGCCCGGTCATTTTTGACCGGGAACACCACAGGTGTTATAGGGTTTTGAACACCACATGAGGGTTAAAAGGGATTTAGTGATCATTGTTTAGTCCCATACAAGCACTTTTTTGTCATGAAATAATGCAATGATTATTTCTTAGAAGAACAAACAAACAAAACAGACACAGACTCATTTTTTAGTATTGAATTATTAGTAGCGACCTAAAATGATTATGCATATAAAGATTAACCGCATTAGTAAGTGATCATAGCATTTAAAAGGTATGTGTCAATCTCTTGCACCTTTGTATGGTGGTTCCTAGGAATTTCCCATTGTTTTTATTGGCAGAACTACTGGTGTTAGAGTTCCCTCTTAGGAGTTTCCCCCTGGCCCATACTGTGCCTCTGGATTCTTCTGCATCTAAAGGAAATTCGATTTTATGACCCTCTAAGACCAACTCAAGCACAGACCTTATTTATCATGGAAATATCTGGCGAGAAATAAAATGAAGACAGTATAGCTTAAGCCATGCAGTTTAAAACACATCGAGGAGTGTGTTGGTTGTCTCCAATTCAGCCCTCGCAATAATAAAGAGAGAAATATAGACCTGATTTCCTGCAGAAGAACTCTTCAAAAAACTCTTGCACCGAATCTTCTGTAAAACTCAATGAAGTGTAGAGCAATGTTTTTTGACCTTGTTCAATCTTTTTGTAGGGTGATCAGCTATGAGTGCTGCCCTGGCTATGAGAAGGCCATTGGAGAAAAAGGCTGTCCAGCAGGTATGTAAATGGAATTGCGTGCATTAAAAGAGGTTTGTTATGATATTAGCAATAAAAAGTTGATTTGTTTTTTCACAGCTTTACCTCTGGCGAACATCTATAAAACCCTGGGTGTGGTTGGAGCCACTACTACTAAGATGTACTCTGAAAGAGCGAAATTGCAGGAGGAGATCGAAGGACCCGGCAGCTTCACATTCTTCGCTCCCAGCAATGAGGCTTGGGCTGCGCTTCCCACTGTGAGTTCCCAGCAATGCGTCTCCATAGACCATGTAGAACAAATAAAGTGTTCATAGCCTGTCGTATTCAGGCTATGTAGGCAAAGAGTTCCCAGAAAACGTTATGTATTGTCTACCAAACTGTAAAAATAGCAAGAAATATCAAGATTAGCTCAATGTGCTGTAGGAAATTCTGGATGCACTGGTGAGCAACGTCAACATTGAACTCCTCAACGCTCTGCACTACCACATGATCAACAGACGCTTGACGTCTGACGACCTCAAGCATGGCTCTTCGTTCTCCTCCATGTATCAGGACTTTGATGTTCACATCCATCATTATTCTAACGGAGTAAGTCAAATGTGAATGAAATCGGTTTGCTGCTTTAACCAAGTCTTGTTTAGATTTTCTCACTGGAAATGTGTTTACTTTATCTATAGTTAGTTAATACTATGTTGACTAGCGTTTTTGGTTCATAGTATACAGTAATAAAGTATTTACAAATCATTTGCAAACTATTAGTTTATAGTGAATTAATTGTTAATATATTATAGTCTCTACATTGTTAATATATGAATAGGTTATAGACAAATAGTGAGTTCTTCATTCATTGTCACTGTAATTAACCCAACTATTGTTTAATTAGCCCATATGTTTAGAGTTAGAGTTGTTTTTAATGCTTTGTTAACTTATTAACTGTAAATAGTTCTCACTTTAGATTAGGCCACTGAAAATGGGAAAATGTCATTAATTAATACTGCTTTAAACCAAGTATTTAGTGTTCCTTAAAAAGTGTACAATTACATTAAGTGTGCGTGCGTTCGTTTGTGCATGCGTGCGTGTGTGCTTAATGTATTTTTAAACTTTTTAAGGAACACTTAATACTTATGTAATTAATGTCTAATAAAGGTTGGTTTAAAGCACTTAACTAATGACATTTTCCGTGGTCTAATCTAAAGCGAGAACTATTTACTCCTACTTCCTCCTGTTAATCAATTAACAATTTCTTTACTACGAGCTAATTAAACAATAATAGTTGTGCTATTTACAGTGACAATGAATGTAGAACTCACTATTTGTATATAACCTATTAATATATTAACAATGTTGTGACTGCAATATTTTAACTATATATAAACTATGATAGTTTGTTCATGATTTGTAAGTACTTTATTACTGTATACTTATAAAGTGTTACCATGTTTGTTTTCTTTATTACAAATGATTTGTTGTGAAGTTGTCTGTACATTACCAAACCATATGTTTTGTTGCAGATTGTGACAGTGAACTGTGCGAGGCTTGTGAAGACAGACCAGCATGCCACCAATGGAATTGTGCATGTCGTTGACAGAGTCATCACCGCCATTACGAACAATGTCAACTCTTTGATTGACACCGATGATGACTTGGACACTCTACGGGTAGATTGAGGGAATTTACTGGTTCAGAATAGGCATTAAATTGAATGTAGTGTAAATGGTACAAAGTACATTGAATGAATTTTTTCCCTTTTCATTTAGACTGCCGTTGCTGCTGCTGGTCTCACAAATCTGTTGGAGAACGAGGGTACCTACACCATCTTTGCTCCTACCAATGAAGCCTTTGAGAAGATTCCTTCAGAAACACTGACCAGGATTTTGGGAGATCCTGTTGCTCTTAAAGGTACTTTTGTTCTTCTTCAGCATAAGGCACTTGTCACAACCCATTTTACTTCCATAATGTGATGCATTTCTGAGTGAAACGAGATATTCTATGAGGAAAAAAAAAATGTTGAGTGGGACAAAATTTATCCATTGGGAAGTGATTGGATTGTAAAAAGTTGGCATTATAGTGCATACCTGATTGGAGCCAGGTGGTGGGAGGAGGTAAGAGAGATTCATTTGTAACATCGGCCAAACAGAAAAATGTTTCAGAAGCAAGAAAGCTATTTCATTTTGCTAAAAGATTACGAAGATAAACTTTTTTTTTTTAGTAATAATGTGCACTTGTGAATCTCCCAGATGCTGCAACAGCAGTTTCATTTTATTCTTCCAGAACAATTATTATGGTATGTCTTTTACCAATTGCACAGCTGTGCTGATATTGATATGTGCTGTCACCTTGTCATCATTTTTTTGGACTCAATCCACTTTAGATCTGCTGAATTACCACATTCTGAAGAACTTGCACTGCTCTGAGTCCATTGTGGCTGGAACACCTCTGGAAACCCTGCAGGGCTCTGTGCTGGAAGTCGGCTGCGATGGTGCAGACATGACCATCAACGGCAAAGCCATCGTCATGCAGAAAGATAAACTTGGAACCAATGGAGTTGTTCACTACATCAATGAACTCCTCATCCCTGACTCAGGTATGATCTTCAGGAGACTTTTAGATGCTGTTTTATGACACATTTTTTAATTTTATTGCTCCCTTAAACACATACCTCGGGTCTTTAGTGACCTGGGACGTCATTCACTACCCTCCTCCTCATTCATTTTATGAAGTTAGACATCAACATTCTTAGTATTCCTAAATCAATTCATTCTAAACAATATATAAAAAAGAAAAATAATATATTAAAGAATGCCTGTTTTCCCAATAATTTTTTGTAAAACTTGAATTGGGTCACTAACGACCCCAGGTTTGTAACAGTGTAAGTATATTTTTTCTTCACAACATTAATTGAATATATTTGATGACTAAATAAGTGCAATTCACCTTTATTCCACAATGTGCCAATATCGGATACACAATGATGAATTGACCTTTCACTCATAGTTACCGCAGGCAGAAAACAAAAGAATAGGAAGTATCATCAGCAAAACTTGAAATGGCTCCATGATTTACTGCAGAATAAGAACTGAACACAATCAAATATTAGTGTCACTGTCACTTGAACACTGTCAATTGTTTTTAAAAATAGTTTTTTTTCTTTTCGGTGTCATGGACACTCTTATTTTTAGTTGACCTTTTAACCATGTTGTATTCAATGCTTTACTGTGCTTTCTTGTTTGTTTTAGCCAAGACCCTCCTGGAGCTTGCAGAGGGATCAGTAGTTACTACAGCCTCAAAGCTTTTTAAAGACGCTGGTCTTACTGATCATCTCATTGGTTCTGAGGCTGTGACCTTATTAGCCCCACTGGATGATGCTTTTAAAGGTTGGATCACTCCATTTTCATTAATCTAGCAAATGAGCTTTAAGAAACTCTGAAATAACTGTAATTGTATCATTTATGTGCAGACAAGAGCTTGCCCATGACACCCGACATGAAGAAACTGCTGAGAAACCACATTCTCAAGGAGAGGTTTTCCTCCAAGAGCCTTTACCATGGGCAGGAGTTGGAGACTCTTGGTGGATTGAAACTGAGAGTGTTTGTGTTCAGAAATGTAAGTCTTTACATGTCAATCCATCAAACACACATAAGAGCCACGTTTTTTTTTTTTTTTTAGCCATGTTGTAGCTGGCAGCGAGGGTGGTATAGTTCTGTCTGCGCTCTCACATTTCTGCTTTGTAATGGAATTCCCAGACCACCGGAAACCTCTCCTTTGGATCACCTTAACGTTTTCCACAGCCCACTTCATGCATCATCAGTCTTGTGAGAAAAGAGAGCTTTGAAACAAATGTGCTGATCTGTATTACCATTAACCTTAACCGTTTCACTTGCTTGGACGTTGCAGAACCTGTGCATTGAGAATGCTTGCATTGCTGCCCATGACAAAAATGGACGCTATGCGAATATGTTCGTCGTTGACAAGGTCCTGGCACCCCCCATGGGAACTGTCATGGACGTCCTGAAGGCAGATGATCGTTTTAGGTAAAAAGATCATAAACATATTCATATATTTAAAGAAAACTCCTTACAGTGAAGTCTTAAAGGGATAGTTCACCCAAAAACGAAAATTCTATCATTTACTCACCCTCAAGTTGTTCCAAACCTGTATGTCTTTGTTTCTTCTGCTGAACACAAAATAAGATATTCTAAAGAATATAGGTAATCAAACAGTTGCCATTGACTTTCTATAGTATGTTTTCCCTACAATGGAAGTCAATGGCTACCGTCAACTATCTGGTTACCAAACATTCTTCTCAAATATCTATCTAGCAGAAGAAATAAACACATACAGGTTTGGAACAACTTGAGAGTGAGTAAATTATGACAGAATTTTCTGAAATGTTAGCCGTTATTCACTGAATCTTCCCTTCCGCTGTTGCTCTGAAATCAAATATGGCATTTGGTCAGAAGACACATGAGAACAAATGGCGTTTGCTGTCAAAAGGCACCAGCACACCAAAGCTAATAAGTCGTATAGTCTACTTTTATGATGTTTTTACAGTTACTTTTTGGATCTTGACACCCAAACGACCTTGTCCTTATATGGAAAGAAATGTTGTCTTTGTCTTTGTATTCCACACAAGACAAAGTGGGTTTAGAATGACATAAGTAAATGATGGTTTTGTGGTTTATTAAATGATGACAGGTTTTTCATTTTCCTTTTAAGTAAGATGCTAATAACTGTTTAAGCCTATCTAGAGGTATTTAGAGAGAATAAACTTCAGTTAAAAAAAAAATGTAACCTCACATCAGTGGTGCTTTACACCAAATGCCCTATTAAAAAAAACTAGTAGAAAAAATGTTCCACCATAAAGGGTGTAATTGTTTTCACAGTCTTATTGAAAGAAAATATGCAGCTGTTTCTCACCCACATTCAAAGACCTCAATGTCAGTCTCTCAAAACGTTTTTCTTTTTTCTTCTCATAATGATAATGTAGTTGCATGTTCAAACTTGAGGCTGTAATTTCTTCAGATTTCCGATGACCTGGGTGGAATTTGACCTGTCAGTCTAACTGTCTTTATAGCCTAAAGATATACTCTAATAATGTGCTTTAATGAACTTTCATCCATACAGCACCTTGGTTGGCGCCATTCAGAGAGCAGGCCTGACTGAGCTCCTGAACAAAAAAGGGACCTACACCTTCTTCGCCCCCACCAATTCTGCTTTCAGTGCAATGCCCCCCGCCGACCTCAACAAACTCATGAGTAATGTCTTTCAAGTGCCACTCATGTTTCACCATATGTGTTCATAAAACAGATGTTCAGTGCATGATTACACACAAGCTGGTCAGATTTGGGAATTCTGTAAGGCAGCAGTATGAGTGTTTGTGAATGTGCAGCATATACTTACATCTGTTGTTTCCCTGCTACTGTATGTTGTACATAGGAGACCCCAAGGAGCTGGCAAACCTTCTGAAATACCACATTGGTGACGAGTTCCTGGTCAGCGGCGCTGTGACCTCACATACCAGAATGAAGCCCCTTGCAGGCGATAAACTGGAGTTAGGCACTGTCAGTACTCACTACTGCAATCAATCTTATCTTATTATTGAGTGAAGAAAATAAATGCTTTTTAGATTGTGTATCTTCGATAGAAGTAGAATATATGTACACTGCCGTTCAAACATTTTTATTTGATCAAAATGCAGTAAAACAGTATTATTTTGAAATATTATTACAATTTAAAATAACTGTTTTCTATTTTAATATATTTTAAAATGTAATGTATTCCTGTGATGGCAAAGCTGAATTTTCAGCATCATTACTCCAGTCTTCAGTATCACATGGTCCTTCAGAAATCATTCTAATATGCTGATTTGGTGCCTGAAAAACATTTCTCATTATTATCAATGTTGGAAAAATAGTTGTGTTGCTTAACATTTTTGTGTAAAGTGTGACACTTTTTTCAGGATTCTTTAAAGAATAGAAAATTTCTAGAAAAATCAAAAGAACAGCATTTATTTGAAATAGAAATCTTTTGTAAAATTATAGGTCTTTACTTTTGATCAATTTAATATATAATTTCTGAATAAAAGGATTAATTTCTTTAAAAAAAAAATCGTATTTACCCTAAACTTTTAAACGGTAGTGTATTGTATATATATAAAATTTCGGTCATTTACTCACAGTTGAAACTATATGCTGTTATTTTGCAGAACACACACACACACACAAAATCATGAATCATCAAAGAATTAATGAATCTGCTGAATCTTCACATTGAAGATTCATAACTGCCGTTCTGTAGAGAAGGTCTGTTTGAAGATTCTTTAAAATTCTCCTTTTGGAGAAAAAATAACATGTTTTTTTAATGAAGTCAGGGAGAGTAAATGATGACAGAATATTAATTTATGGGTAAAATATTCCTGATTTCATCTGATAATGAATGAATTATTTTTTGTATGACTTTCAGCGTAACTCCACCATATACGTGAACAGGGTGCCTGTTGTGGAGGGTGATCTGATGGCTACCAATGGAGTTGTACATGCTGTTAATGTAATCATAAAGCCACTGCGTAAGCCATTAGACACATTTTCTAAAACATTTTGATAATAAACATATCTTATTTCAGAGCTTCATAACAGTGTGACATGCCACTTTGTTTTAGCTCCTAAAACTGTGAGTGACCAGGCTGAAGGCTCGACAATCAGACGCACCTCTGCTGTTAGGGTTAGTAGTATAATGTCATACACAGTTTTTTTTACAATAGATCAGTGCCTCTATTTAATTAAAAGATTTTATAAATATTAATGATTGTCAAAATAAATGAAATATATCTTCTCAATTTTCCATCCCAGGCTGGGACTCATGTAATGAAAAATGGTATGCATTGTTCACTAACTTTAACTTTTTTTACCCCCACATAAATAAAGAGTCAGATATATTTCATATTTTGCTTGTGATTGTATTGAGATGAAAAAATAATGAATCTTAATATATTTCTTGTCACATTCCAGATGATCTCTTCCAGAAGGTCCTGAGAAGTCACAGCAGCAAAGCAATGTCTCGTGTTCAGTAAACGTAGCTCTGCAAAGTAAAACTGCAATTCATTTTAACCTCCACCCCTTTAAGAAGAAGGAAACACAGTTCAATGTCTTATTTTGCGCAGTGGAGAGATAATCAGAAGACTAAGACAATCCAGCCAACAAAATACAGAATTCTGAAAATGGAAAACAGTTTGCATTGCAAAGCATTGTAACTTTATCACATGCCAAAGACCCTTGGATGAACAGCAATGTTTTTTTTTTTAAATATCACAACTTGATGACAGCGATTTGTTACGGCACTTCATATGTTTTGGATATTCATTCGACTTCCGTTTTGGACTTTCAGTCTGAATTATTTGAATCAGATGTTGGTTCAACACTTTTTATTACCATTTTGTATTTCTTTGTATTGTTTTTGGTTGTTGTATTTGATATACCTGTAGCATGTTTGCATGGTTTAAGCTTGAACAAATGCTATTTGGGCACATGAAAACACAGACCAAATGTATGTCTTCATTTACCATGATCTACAGTGTAAAACCTGTAACTTGTGATATTTTGTAAAGAACCAAAGATCCCTTTCGGCATATTTCATAATAAAATGACCATTTTGTAGCCACAGAGTTATAGTTTACATAACTAGTCCAGTGCCCTTGAATGTAGTTGCTCTGTCTGTTATAAGCCAATTTGTCAGTTCACTGAGCTGACTTCACAATGTGGTGGATTGTCATAACGTGGTGATTAATCTGTGTGGTAATTAAAAGTCTCACTCAGATGATCATTTAAAAGTCTGCTTGCTCCTCTTATTTTTTTGACTAAAGAAGTTTTTTTTATGTTTCCTGTTTCTTTCTTAAAAGCACATTTTTATCAATCCAAAATATACCAGCATTGAGTGGCTTATTTTGCTTCCAGACCTGGATTTTACATTAAACATCACCCAGAGACCAAATATTGCTTTTTGCAAAAAGTAATAGAAAAGTCCATCATTCATTAATATTAAGTTTAAAAGTCAAGTAAATAATCTCTCCATGTTTGTAGTGTTGCCAGGTGCAGGTGGTTTTAGTGCTCTCTCTCTCTCTCTCTCTCTCTCTCTCTCTCTCTCTCTCTCTCTCTCTCTCTCTCTCTCTCTCTCTCTCTCTCTATATATATATATATATATATATATTAATTAATATATATTCAGTGAACCACTGGAATCTGAAAACGAGACAGTTAATGGGAGCTTCTGTAATGACTGAAAAAATATATATTTTTGCTGCTTGTTCAAATTGGTTAGTTAAAATGAGCTCCAGCAACACAATTGCTATTTGTCCTAACTTAATTTGATTATGTTCAATCCACTTAAATATGTGTAAAATGTAAGTGTACTTAATCAGTTTGTGTTGGGATTACATTATTGATTTGTGTCGCATTAACTGAAACTGGCTGGTGCTTGTTAGTTCCCAGCATGCTTTCCATATGGCTGAATCAGAGAGTAAATGTTGAAATTAAGTGTTATTTTATGTGTTTTTGAGCAAGATGAGAAAAGGAGGAGACTTGATAGTGTGTGTGTTTAATGGTCAATTATGTTGGAATTATTAGAACCATTTAAATTACACTGGGTTTTCCATTGTGGAGAAGAGTGGAGCATTTGCTAGGCTGTGGACTGATACAGCAAATATTAGAACTGCCTTGCTTAAGGAGTACTTAATGCTTAACATATTAGATGCTAATGTGTGATATCGCTTGTTAAAAGTTTGATTACTTGCTAGGGCAGTCTTGTAATTCAGACGTGTGGCATTAGAATATATGAAATTAAATGCATGAATCATGACAGGGAGCTCTACAAAATTCACTTTGAGACTACTTTATTGATTCACTTAAAAATGACTTCATTCCATGATATTGAACAGATTATGTTTGTTTAACTTATTTGATTCATGTGGGACAGATGCACAAGATTTAATCATGTAAATCCAACACAATTTTGTTTTCAGTGTGGGAGGGGCATTCTCATTCTAGAGAACATCTGATTGGACAAAAACCTGAGGTGCAGGATGAGTCATCAATTCTTTGTTCCTATTTCCCAGAAGAGAAATAGGCTTACTATACATTTGAAATGCATATATCTTCTAAAGGTGAATTTTGTCAGAAGATGTTGTTTATGGCTGTACAGTAGATGACCTTAAAGCTAATGGACTAAAAGCAATACAACTTTTATTTACATTTCATGGGGTCTATTAAAAGTTGTTAAACCTATTTAATTTGCTATAAACTCATAATTCTATAGTTCATTGCATTTCATTATTTCCATTTAGCTATAATCAGAACAGACCTGCCATTTTTGGATGCCAACCAACAACTGGAATCTGAAAACGTGACTGCCAATGGGAGCTTCCGTAATGACTTAACATGAAAAGATGCCTGTTTAAACGTGCCATTTCGCTTCACTGTGCTTGTTATATCACCGCATACACTAGTTTGAGGATGTTAAACGGAGCTTTTGTACCCCGCAGTGGTCCTGGGATGGGATGTCTCGAGTTTCCCACGGAGCTGGAGTAGGAAACATATGTGCACAGTAGGCCTACCCTTTCTCAGCTGGCATCCCAAACGAAACATTCCAGCAGCGTTTTACTTCCAGCAAGACACTGGCAGACTGTTTTGTGTCGGAGATCGAGGGCGGTGAGGTTTAGTGCTACTGAAACCTGCTGGCAAACACGCTTGTTAAGTTATTACAGTTTGCAGTATTTAGCAACCAAAGGTCAGTGTGCTGAAAAAAATACTGAAGATACGCTCATCTCCTCTTAGAAATGTTTAACCACGAAGTTAAAATCATTACAACACTGCGCGGAAACAAATGTCAAGTCTAATAAGTCTGTATTAAATCCAGGATTATGCCTGAGACCTTTATAAATCATTTGATGTCTGTTTTCCTTTTGTATCAATCCAGAGTAATCAGACATGTTTTGTCCACTATTTTGACCGCCTGCATTTAAATCAATCAGATAACCAGTTTAAGAGTTGTTATATAGCGATATCAGTGGTGATTTACGATTCTCTCCACTCAAATTGAATTCTAGTACACCTACGCATGGCTATTGTATGATATCTATCTCCTTTCTAATGGAAAACACATGTGTGGCCATTGATGGCTCAATATAATGTGTTCTTTCACTCTCAAATCAAAAAATGTGCTTCATATTTGGTCACATCTACATTTACTGGTACTATTTAAGTCAAAAATATTATTTCATTTGTCTGATTCTATCTGACTTCATTTGGTTATACACCAAGCAGTGATTTTTAAGGGTTAGATCAAGTATAAATTTAATGTAACAACCACAGACGCTATTCTCTTTTTACAGTGTATTGATCTAACTATCCAGCAGAGACACAAAGTATGCCAAAATGTGATTGTTTGACAACTTGAACCTCGCTTGGAATATGCACAATTAAGGCAGAGCTTACTTTCAAACATAAGTGGAACTTATGGCAGTCGTTTCATGCTAGTAGTCATGAGTTACAAATTAAATCTTTGTATTGCGTGCAGCTGTTCTCTTTTAGCCTGAGTGATAGAGGGAGAGGCTTACAGTAACAGAAACCAGCCAGCTTCAGTGTTCCTTCAAAAAGGCAGTGACATAAAAGAGACAAACTGTTTAGATGTTTGAAAGAAAAAAGAATAAGTCCTTCTTCTGTCCTTATAGACAGACACAGATGTTTTGTGATCTGGGTGGATGACTTTGACATAATGCATGACCTGCTCTACATATGTTGCCCTCTGATTTGGCCTTTTGCTGTGTGGGCTTGACCCACAATAGCTCCCTTATATCACATTCAGGACACCCAGTGAGAACAGATTGTAGAACCAGGTTTCCAGTATCCATAAAACTCTCAGCTTTGTGAAAGCCTGAACCCTGTATGAACAAAATCTGCGAGGACAAGGGGGAGACGCAAAGTAAAACAGGAACAGAAATTAAACTTAATCGCCTTAAACTGCACAAAAAACATCTCGCTCCACTCAGGAAGAGTAATGGTTCATTCAATACCACTTAATAAACTTGTGGCCTCTGACATTGTTGTTTGTTACTTCCAGAGGTGGGTAGAGTATCCAAAAACTGTACTCAAGTAAAAGTACAAGTACTTATAGAAATATTTACTCAAAGTAAAAGTAAAAGTAATAATCTTAAAAGTTACTTGAGTAAGAGTAAAAAAGTATCCAATGAAAAAACTACTCAAGTAGTTAGTTACTAGTTACTTTGGAACACATAGGCCTATATATATATATATATATATATATATATATATATATATATATATATATATATATATATATATATATACTGTATATGTAACATGATATTATTTAGATATTTTTTATTGCCTGTCCTTTGGTTTGTATAATAGTATAGTAACTTATACAACTCCATTTGGATTATTAGACAATGTCGGAATAAAGTGACTCTATGAAGTTTTGCATTCAAGGGATGGGAACCATTGACAGATTAGAAAGTGTTAAAACTCTGCATATGTGCTCGCAGTCATGTCATGCCCAACATAAACAATGATCAAATGCACTGATCTTCTTCTGTCTGTTCTCCAAAATGAATTTAAATGTAGGCTATATTTATGAAAGCATCTTTAAACTGGTTAACTGAGTCACATAAGGCAGGCAAAGGCATTCGTTTTCAAGTCGAGTTCGCACGCCACTGCGCAATACACACTCATTGTGTGTGTGTACACATTCATAAACTGGACGATGATAGCTTATTTAATGTATAAAGTAATGTATATGTCCGAAAAAAAGGGTAATGTCATATTTTGTAGTAGTGCGATATGGCGTAATAATCTGTTTGGTTGTAAAATGTATTACCTGAATGAAATCAAATGTATCGTCGTGTGGAATAATTCATTCACACACAGCTTACGAAGTAGCTAACATACGAAGATGTTCAACTAATAAAGATCTTCATCGCTGGCAAAAAATATGATGCATTTGCAGATTTACTTTCTAGACTGTACTGTAGACCGCCACTTCATACAACGCGAGAGGGGGTTCAGCGAAAAATCGGCAGCTGGCAGCAGGAAGTAGCTGCCACTGGCAGCAGGAAGTAGCTGCCGTTGACAGCTGACCGTACCTGCCAATAAAACCGGACGTCAGCTGCCGCTATAACCGGAAATCGGAGGTGTATGCCGCTTTTAGCCAGGCAAATAATTATTATATTAATTTATATATAATTTTTGTACTTATTTACATTTTATTAGTAATTATTTTATATAATTTGATTAAAATCAAGTTACGAAGATCATAGAAATAATAAGAAACAAAAAAACAAGCTACACTTGAAATTATGCATTTGTACGTGTATAAATATAACTTATGAATGAGTATACATGTTTGTTAAATAATGAAATATATACATGCATAAATTAATTCCTATGTACATAAACATTCATTAAACTTAATGAAAGTCCTGTCTAAAAGAAAAAAAGAACATTGTCTTATCAATGACCTTTATTTAAAATCATATTTTGCTATCATTAAGTTCAGTTTTACATTTGCAGTACTTAAATACATTCTTGTATTTGTTTAATAAAGCAGCTGTAACTTTTGAAACAGGCTTGATATTTGGGGCATGAATGACATCAGTACATACATGTTGGCT